GGCAACAGAATAAACAAAATATGGACTCGCCGGTGGCGTTTGCTTGCTTCTGAATGTATCTTATTTGGACAGTGTGACTGACGGCATCACCAGTTATCAAAGGCAATCCAATGGCTCGAGAAAGCAGATTTTGAGACCAAAATCGTCGTCGCAGGTACGCACAATGTTGGTCCCCCCTCAGACTTCCTCACCTTGACGCAATATACATTTCATCCCTCCACATCAGAACACTGACCAAACGGCCGTCTAGGGAACCATGACATCACCCTAGACGCAGACTTCTACTCTCAACACGGATCCCACTTCCACAACCAGACACCACAATCACCTCAAGACTGCGCAGCCCTCCTCACAAACTCCCCCTCAATAACCTATCTCGACCACGAAACAGCAACCATCCGCCTCTCTTCCCCTTCAGGACCACACACCTCCTTTATAGTCTTTGCCTCCCCGTACTCGCCACGCAACGGCCTCTGGGCATTCGGCTACGACGCCCCTCAGCACGGCAGCGTCGGCGCCGCGGCGAGTGATCTACCCACGCTATGGGACCATATCCCTCTCGAAGCGGACGTCGTCGTGACGCATACCCCGCCACACACCCACTGCGACGAATCTCGCGCCCGGCGCGCAGCGGGATGCGAAGCCCTGAGACGGGCCTTGTGGCGCGTCCGTCCGCGGCTCGCTGTTTGCGGACACGTCCATGAAGGACGCGGCGTCGAGAGGGTAAGTTGGGATCTGGGCTGCGGCGGCTCAGCTTTCAAAGAAGAAGGCGTCGAGCGCTGGAGTGACCCGGGCCAGGGGAACAAGCAGTCCCTCGTGAATCTGACAATCAAGGGCGGGAACCCTCTCCGCAACGACGGTTCGCACCCGGGGAGGAGTGCATCCGACGAGGCTGTGGGGAGGACAGCTTCCGGTCTGTCTCCGTCTACCCCCGAAACGACGTCAGAATCCGCCGCAGACCCGGGCCTCGGCACCCGCGGCCTCGGCGGCGATCCGACATCACCCCGCACCGATGTCGCCGCGCTCGCCGGACGCCTTGGCCGGCGGGAGACGTGCGTCGTTAACTGCGCCATCATGGCGAAGAGTTATCCGCACGTCGGCGGCAAGACGGTCAACAAGCCTATTGTAGTGGACCTGGATTTGCCGGTGTGGGAGTGGGATCGCGATGGGATGCCGCGGGTCGTATATGCGGATTGAAAGCCTCAATGAAACATAGAGGCAGGTGGGCAGATGCCTTGCTTCAGGTTGAGTAAAGTGGCTGTGATATCGACGTTGCATTGGCGGCGAGGCAGACGGCGGGGCAGCTTTGGTTATTGACGAGGCGCCTGCATGGAGTTGCACATCGGTGAAGGCATGCGTTCTTGTTCGACACAGGTCTGAGTAGCCTGCGTGGACTGCTGCCACAATGGAATTTAGGCGAGGCAGCAAGCGTTCAGAACAGATCGGCCTTTTAATGTTCACCTCCCCGGTCTTGGTAGCCTCGAACCTTCAGTTGCGCTCCAGCATGCTACTATTCGGTGACCTCTACGCCTATCATTCGTGGCACAATGATAACTTCCATGACTTTACCGACTCGAGAGTTCGCCCGTAGCCTTCCATCGCCCGCCCGGCTATGATTTCAAAACGTTTGCCTGTGGACGCGACGCTCGTCGCCTTCCTCTTTCGACGTCTGTGCCGCGGGTTCGCATACAGGCTGTCTCATCCCGAGTAAGGGACTATCAAGCCTCGTGGGGTGTTCGACAGACTAGATGAGCCGCATGTGATACTCCTTATCTACAACAACGACTTAGGGGTAGGGTACTAAGAGTCGAAGAGGCTGAAGTTGCTCTATGCTAGTCTCAGTCAGAGGATGTATCTGGAAACCGTTACCCACCACCACCGTTTTTGACCGTCTACAGCGGGGGCATAGGGAGACGGGAATGAGGCTTCCGAAGTGACAGCCAGTGAAGAAATTACGATCATCACCGAGGTCTACGGTTTTGTGCTCATATTGACAACAATATACCGTTGAACAATTCAGTCCCACCAGACTGTCTCTTGGTCTCGGAGGCCTTTACCTGTGCTCGGAGAGGTCGAGCCTCGTCAATCGTCTCTGCCGTAGCACTATAAATATCCTGCCACAGATCCCTCGGATAGGAAGCCTCGCCAGCTTGAGCATGAACTTGCCCTCTGCCCCGCGGTTGGGCATTCAGGCAGATCATGTTGCGAGATGTGTTCCACAGATGGGCGACGTCGGTGTCTGGAAACGCTTCATGCCTATCCACATCTATATTATCACGTACCATGACTACTGATTTCCAAAGGATATCTCTCAAATCTAGGTATTACGATGCTCGTATACGTGTCCGAATACATACAAAGGCATGAGAGACTCCCCATGGCATAGTTATTCTTCTGGGACCTAAGCAGTCAGAAGCCCTGTTATTGTAGTACACGTATATCTCCCCCGTAGTTTATATCCTCCTACTCACTATATAGAAGACCGAGGATTTCTATTAGCCGGACGACTGTCGGGAGGAGCACGTCAACCTTTCCTACCTAGCCTCCTAGTCTGGATACGATGCTAGCTTTGAAAAAATAGTAGAAAGGGGTTGAGGCGGTTCAAAACACGCCGTGTCATCAGAGCGAATATCCTATTCAGATAGAGGCAGATTATCTTTCGCGACGTATCGACAACACTACTGTTTAAGATAGAGACGCCTTCGTCGTAAAAGACGGCAAAACCCTTAACCAAGGAGGTTCACTAGCTCTAAGTACCCTCATATGGGTATACGAGTCAGAACATACATCTAGTAGACCCGAGAGACTCTCTAAAACCATTACTCTGAACCTATCCAGCCCGCCCCCTTATATCACTACCTCGTAGTACTACATATAGTAAGGGAGCTTCCCCCAAGAGCAGCACACTTCCAGAGCAAATCAAAGCCAGAATTAGGGGGCAAGTAGCAGACAGATAAGCAACGCATTGGGTCAAGGGACAGGACCTCGCAGTCAGGTAGATTCTTCAACTCGGTCACGCTGCACCTTGCTAGTCGATAGGTCTTCGATTGCTCTCGCCGTAATGTCCGGCAAGTCTTCCGTCTCCCATCGTGATCCCTCCGTCAGCTACTTCATCTATCGTAACCATAACAAGGCGAACCAGGTCCATGAGATTGAGGAAAGGAAACGACCAGTGAGGGTGACCTATCAAATGGGCAGACTGACTTCCAAAGCTGTATCCCGCCTTCTCGGTCCATCCCACAGGCCTGCCTCGGAGCCTCATCCTCATCCTCATCCTTCTCGCTCAAGACAACGACCCAATCACACGAGAGCAGCCTCAAGGAGCTAGCCTCATCACATCGAAGGGGTGCCTCATCTGTCTCATCTGCCTCACTAGCCATCCATATCTACACTTCTCCTTCGGCCTCCTACATCTTGCACACCTTCACACATGGCAGAACTACACATTTGCTTCAGACGCCGATACGTGCTGATAATCAGGCACCGAAACACCAAGCCTGAACGCCCCCCTTCTCCCTTGGCCATCTTTCCCACCACCCTTCCCAATGAGGCGGGACTAGAAAGGTGCAACTCGGGCTGGACTCGATCCTAACCTACACACACCATCACGATTCTTGCACATTGCTGCACTCTTCACGGGGTAAGCACCCATAAGGCACCGAAAGCCGCAAGACCCAATGATTATCAGGGAACCTTTTCAAAGCTTTTCTCAGATTCCCATTAAGCCCTGCCCAAAAGTCCCATCGTAATGATACACCACAACGTCCTCCCCCCTCAGTCTCATGTCAAAATAGCCGTAAAGCACACACGTGATCCGTTTGACGACTGCAAAAAGCAATCACGTCGGCCAGGCCGACACTAACATCCAAACCCGACGACATCCGCCACGGTTCTCGCCTGCAAACGAACTACCTACAACCCCTTCGTTGCTGATGTAAGAAAAACAAATATCCGTAATCAATCCCATCTATCCATCCCCCTTCCCCCACGACACAACCCTCAAAAACCTACCTGCAGAGTACCTATCCCTCCCCAAAAGCTGATGTAAGACGGTCCCAGCCTCGCCACCCAGAAGACCAGGCAAGCAAGACAAGCTGGGCTCGCCCCCCAAGCCCATGAGTCCTCACCTTTCCTTACCTTTAAGCCTCTCCGACACGACACGCTCAACACAGTCCCGTGGTTCAGAGTCCATGAGATAGTATCCCAACCCAGAGAAAACAGAAGTCACATTCAGATACCATCCTCGCTCAGCTTACTTTCCCAATTCAACGCTCCTCACCCACCACACACAACCATCATCCAATCCCACTGCACTCTTCTCTCCGCCTACCAATTGATACACTCCAGAGTCCAAAACTTCAATTTGATCCTCCTATTGGCCCAGAAATTCAATAATCATGTGTGGATGCCTAACACAAAAGACATATAGTGGAGACCAAATAGGCTTTGGTGACAGCTCAGGAAAACAACAAGACGGCAGAAGAGGAAAGGGAAAGCGGCCTGGCCTGACCTTCTGGCCTGGCCGCCCGCGCCCCAGGCCTGCATCTCGACTCTGTACTCTGCGGCGCAGGAGAACCCCCCTTTCGCCTCGTGCTTCGTAATTCTTGCTCCCCTCCTCCCGTCTGTCTTCCGATACATCGTGTACTTACACGTCACAACGGGGTTTCTTGTCTATCAGATCAGGCTCAGCGGCAGGTAGGTCGCGAACGCGGCCATCTGGAGGATGGCCGCTGTGTTACCTCACAGGCCTACCTCATAACCAATTCCCATTAGCGCCCATGAGAGGGTTGACGAAACCCCCAGACGGCCCGCCAGTACCATTGACCATCGTCACAACATGATCCAAAGAGGTGGGAGCAGATGAAAGCAAGGCGCTCGATGGGCCGCCCCGTCTGGCCATCTATCCGGCTCCGGATGCCTGATACCGCATGTCCATCCCGTGCCGCCGACCAATGGCCCCGAGTCTAGCGATACAAGAATGCCGGATTCGCTAGTCACGCATGCCTTTTATCTCTCTCTCCCCCTCCTGCAAGGCTTCCCTTTGGAAAGGGAAACCTTCCTGTCGTTGGGATAGGATAGATAGAGCCAGTCATAACCCCGGGGCGAAGATCAGCGTACACTTGTACGGATGCTACGTAAAAAAGGACCACCCCTCGGATATGCTTCCTCTGTACTGTCAGCCATACAGCTCGCGTGAGGAGCCGGTTGGCTGGAAGCCATGCCAACCGCCGCGCTTGGATGGGAAAGGGAGGGGGCATATTCTTCCATTTAGTGTTTGGTCAATTCTGCTTCGCGAAGCAGCATGCCCATCATCCATCCCGAGGACCATCGGAGAGGAGACGCATATGTGGAAGCAGGCTATAAGGCAACAAGAAGGAAATAAGGTAGATGTTCCGGTCTCTCAGACCGGGGAGACGGGCTCGCGTGCGGGAATGGACATGCAGAACCGGAGAGGGAGTGAAGACGTGCAGCTCGGCGCTTGTCGAACGCCCAATAAACGCAGCGGTGGAGACCTTCCCAGACAAGAGGCGCTCCAGCACTCTAGAAAGGAGGGGGGAGACGTGAACGTCGGAAGAGAAGGGGGGTTACGGGCGGGAGAATGTAAGCCCAGTATCAGATGCGGCGGCTGTGCGCAGGTGGGATGATGTGATGTGATGGGATCGGAATCGCGGGGTTCGATTCGCTTGGTGGGGGTTGCCCGCGCATGAGACCCTCAATCCCCCCTCTCGACTCTGTTACGTTTCTTCGTGAGGGTCACCTGGAGGCATCATGGTGTTGCCATCGAGATTGTGAATTGATGAAGTCTGGATGCGTCTGTGAAACTCTGTCATCAAAGAGAGGCTTTCGGACCTCAAAGCTGCCCAAGAATTTCCTCAATTGAACAGCTCATCGCAAGGATGGAAGCTGTAGTAAGGAATCAGAGAGCTGTCCAAGCCAAGGTTGTCGAGAAGCACTTCACCGCCACAAAAGGCAGCGATGTCCCAGCAAAAAATAGACCTCGAGCACAGCCCAGGCTCCATGAGAACCGCAGACTAGCAAGCTAGCGATGGACCGGCTTCAGCCTACGCCTATGCAGGAGCTTTGTCCTATTCTCGACGAAAATGCCTCTTTCCTCAACGCCGTTTCCTTGGAAAGATCGCCAACTGGGCATTGCAAGATGCATCGACCTTATCCACAAGGTGACTGACAAAGTCATCGACCGCAGACAAGTTCCTGGATTTTACTCCTAGAGATGGGATGGCATCCCATGCCCTTCACAAGTTGAGGGTGGTAACCGGCGGCTGTCATTGGAGACGTGAATGGGAATCTGTTGGCGCGGTATCCGCTTTGTGGTCAGAAACGGGAAAATTCCCTCCCTCCAACTGACCCGGCAGTCACTTCGCGAATCTCATCGTTGATAGGCTATCGGCCGGGTCCCTGGAGTAAGGTGTCACTGGTACACATAGTTGGCACAACGATTGCTGGGAACTCCCGGTTGTCGTGGCGCAACTTGAGCGGTTTTCTCCTGAAGATTTTCACGGGAGTATTGGAGGCCATTCCCTGAAGAGTTTCGGCAATGGCGAAGCGGACGGCATGTTCTTTTGCTCATAAAATGGTGATCCAAAGCAGACGCGTACCGGTATGTTCCGCAGCTCAAAGTCGTTGGCCGCTCACTTTTCAGTCTCACCTCACTCACTCAGCGATAGTCTGACTGACTGGCAGAAACTGCTCATGTTGGCCCCAAGGGCGAGCAGGCTGCTGCATCTCTGACGGCCGATCGTTGCCCCGCACCAATGCGATCGAGCTACAACCCACAACAAGGAGGGATGAAAGCGTTGTGATCGACCAAAGGCTGAAGGCAGCTTTTGGCGCTGCCGTGCTGGAGATACTACAAGTAGAGACTGAGTGCTCCAGAAACGGATTGCCATGCCGAAGCCTCACAAGGAAATGCCTTAACAGGACCTTAACAGAAGCTGTTAAACTTGGTCGGATATCCACACCAGTGCGGCACCAGCCAGCTGATCATCCGCGGTGGAGAAGACGGACCTAGGCCCGCTCGCGCACGAGACAGGACGAGACGGGACGATTCGGTTCCTCTCGAACTATTGGCCCAGACGGCGCTGACCGCTAAAACGTGAAACCCCTTCACCACCGACTGACTGCCAAGGACCAGTGACAAACGGCAAGTGTCAAGCTCGGTGATGATGCTGAGGGGTAAGAAGCCACTCACTACCCCTCGTGCCTGGGTTATCACTGTCATAATCCCCGAGTATCAACGCCAAAGAGCGGTTCGAGGTCGTTATCCGTTGACATTCATGCCCTTGGCCAGGATATCTCGATCAGCATGATTCGAGCACCGTATCTCCCTCGATGCGGCATCTACTCCAGGAAAATCTCCCGCCCATGGGTTCCTACTCGTTGTGACTTGTCTAGCTGCAGATGAAGCCTCTGTCTGACTGGTTGAGAAGGTGTTCCAATTTTCGTCTGATTTGTTCGCGGGAGACGGTCTTCTTCTTCTTCTTCCTGGGTCTCCTGGACCAATGACAAGCGGATCCGGACCCCCTCCTTATGTAGTAGAACTGCAAGTCCAAGGTGTATTTCACGTGGAAGGGGACGAAAAAAATTGCGAGTCTAGTTTTTGCACATGTCGGTCGCCGTTTTCACCCTCACCCACAAAGTATCCAGAAGGGGGCGCCTCTGTCTCTAGATTGGGGGCTGTGATGCTCAGAGTTCGTACCTGCTTCCGATCTTCCTGGTGGTCACAGACACGCGACCTCGCGTAGTGACGGCGATCTCATCACGAGTGAGAAGGCGTGGGATGCAACAGCACGGAGGATGGAAGATGGCATGCTAAGACACATGTCCTGAGAGTCGAATGGTCTTAAAGTCGAATGGTTTGTGATATTGTGTGATGGTTGATGCAGAGAGCCCGACTGGGAACTGTGGATGGAGTCATGCACACACTTTGCGGTGGTCGCCGTTACTGGTCGACTGCGACCCTGGAAGGCCGCCGGTCTCTGGCTCAGTCATAGACATTGGATGACACGGCGAGCTAGAGGGCGAATTCGGAGACATTGTAGATATGCCGGCCTTGGTAGCGGGCAAGGAACCCAGCGACTTTAACGACTCCACAGGCCAATGTCGAAACTCTGGCGGCCTCCATTGGCAATTGACGAATACTATGCGAATACTGCGAGTAAGTCGTCAGATTATGAGCTGCCATCGTTGCCGAAAGATGCAGGGCAGAGGTAATAATGCGTAATAAACGGCTGTGGATGCACCTGCAAAGGAAGCACGTTGGAACAATGTCGGCCAAAGGCCTGTGAAAGGGCTTTCCGAGGCAAGTGTTTGAGATAGAACCGACACCAGTTCTGAGAGGGTGTGTAAGTCCCCCCAGACCTGAAAGATCCTTCGTAGGGCTAAGTATGGCTGACGATGCTCAGGCTAGTTGCGATCTTGCTGTTCTCGAGGATGACGTTGCTCCAAGTCGATGGAAGCCGGAGATGTGATGGCTGAGAACAAGTCTGCTGTCGTCCCGTCTCGTCTGCCACTTTCTAGGCTCTGCAGCTAGAAGACGAAGCGGGCACGGTGGAATGGTTGTCGTTGATTACCTAGTCCCCTTGGGGGTTCGCAAGATGATCACGACCATGTGGCGCCGTCTGTTCTGCGGCCTGCGGCCTGTGTGGCCTGTGGCCCGCCAGTGGCCTGCCATTGTCTTTGCGCGTTCCCGGCGGAAAGCTCGAATAATAGCTGATGGACACGGGCAAAAGTTGGCTAGCCTCGTATGGCATATCGACCCGGGGTACGGCGCACCCATGACTTTGCTGGCGACGTTTCTTTGGCTGTGGCCAGGTACGTCTGATATCATGGCGAGGCCAGACCAGGCCACGAAATACGTTTGGGTAGTTGGTCATCTGTACTACTTGGTCGCCATCATCGTTGTATCGCCGTTGGGCTTCATTCCTTGGTTTTTCTTCCCTTTCGTTCCATGGGCTGCTTGTATCCGTGGACTGATGACGGATGAGAGGTTGGGCATCGAATTGATCGAGTGCCATGAGCAAGCATTCGATGAGAGAAAACGGTTTGGGTTGGGAGAGAGTTGGAGGAGGGAGGGGTGGGTGGTTGGGCTAGCGGGGAGACGGTGCGCTTCTGGTCAGACGGTGACAGCTCAAGTTTTACTGCGCTTGTCGTGCTCGCTACTGGGAAGGTCCTCGCAGGCCTTGGGCATCTCCCGAACGTACCTGCCTCCATTAGGTAAGCAAAAAGGGTACGTACTTCGGTACCTCCTTCCCAAGGAGAGGGGACCTTCCATCTGGAAGGAGTCAGAGTCAGGTCCATCGTGAGTTGACGGAGGAAGGCACGGCACCGGAGGACGGGGACCAAGTGCCCGAAAGACCCGCTTTTATCGCAAACGGTGGTCAAACGAGGTGTTTGTTCACCGCCAGATGGCCCTAGACATTCGCCGCAGTGCGTGTCATGAAGCCGAATGGGCGGTGCTGATGGAGTCAAGCAAAAGCAGGTACGGCTAGAGGAGCTCGCTTCCATGGCCCTGCCGGGCAACTAGGCCTGGGCATTACCTCAGCAACGTCTGACAGATGCGTTTGAAATCGTGTTTTCCATGCTGCCAAATATGGCTCTGATGGCTCTACCAGCTTCCAATTGAGGTATCCTTACTGTAGCATGAGCCGGAAGAAAATAGATTATTCAGAAACCCGCCGGATGGTCAGACTGATTTGATGCAACGCAACTGTCTTTCCGAAAGCCTCCGGCTCAGAGGTTCAGATTCGCGTTCGCCGAGCAGACCAGAGGAACACAGCCTCCAGTTCGCAGAACGATGGATTACACTATCAGCCAAGGTCCCTTTAGACTCGGACAGATGGTTGCTTAGCGTGTACCTAAAGAGCCGTTTTGTTAAGCACCAACGGGCATCCCCTAAGTTGTTGATTGAGTTTGTCATTCATGGTGCGCTATCCTCGGGAAACGGGACGTTTGGCGTCTCTCCAACCAAGGTTGCTGCTTGAAAACGGACGAACGTTTCAAAGGGCGGCCAGCTGCAGCGTTGGAGGCTAAACGGATGCCAGGTGCCACCTTGTGTTTGCAGGCCGCGCTGTTGCCACTCAACCACTAAAGGGAGGAGCAGATGAACGGTGCGCGACAAACGTCGGAGTGAGGTACTTGGTCGACCAAAGTCCGAAGTACTCTTGTCGACGGTACGTGGACATCGCCCCTCGACCCCTCACGGGGCAAAGTACCCACGACTTTACGTACGAGCCACCGCCTGCTTCTAATTGCCCACTGCCACATCCTTCTTGCCTTCCTTCGCTGTTGCTTGCACTTTGCAGTGCAGTTGCGATGCCTTGATGCTTCCTCCCTGATGCTGGTACCAGGCGCCAGGCAAGTGCTCCTGGGTGTTGGTGTTGCCGCTGCCCAATCGACAGGGCGAACAAGCGTTTACGGTGCCATGCCATCCCTAATTCATCAATTCCCATCCAACGACATTCCCAGCTTCTCGCGGGTACAACCACAGCATTGCACTCGGCTTTCATGGATACAGCGAACAAAAGACGAAGTAGGCGAAACCCGCGCTTCCGTATTTTTGCCCCTCGAAGAAACAGAAATTTCGTTTTTTTCCCCTTCGTCAACGAGAAACTCCCCTTCCCCTCCGGGAGGCGCTGAAGGCTAGAATGATTCAGGTTGATTCATCCATCGTCATCTTTGGCCCCATTCTCCGGTTCCTCCAGCCGAGGCGCAGCGTGGAAGTTGTCGTCGGCATCTTCGTCAAAGTTGCGCGATGGCCCCCTTGGATCTTGGAAGATATCCTAGCACGATACATACATCACTTGGCGGGCTGAAGCTGTATCTCCTACATCGCAGGGAGCAAGGCGAAGTACATTGTTGCTGCCATCGTTTGGGTTCGATCTTCCTTCCCCAACCACCCCACCTTCGGTACTCTCCTTCACCGTATCCAGGACCGCTATGAGCGATCGACTTTACGACGGGAGCCCATGTGCCGTCCCTGTCGCTCATCACCTGAAGGGTTCGGTTCGCGGCCGACCTCTTGCGGTTCCATATCTACCATGCCACCATGCCTGCCAGCTAAACAAGTCTCCCCGACAACGCGAGACCTCTATTCAGTAAAAGGCACGAGAGAAACCGAGACGGCTTATAGCCACCGATACGGGCAGGTCTCAGGGGTCCCGCATACGTCAGGCGTTGCGTATCATGGCTCAGCTCCGCCGGGGGGTTCAGTCATTTACTATGCAATCCGCCCCCGCGGCCGCCTACCACAGCTGCAGCAAGCCACCGCAAGCTGCTGTACGCTGCCCGTTTGGGCGACGGACAACGCGGGTCGAACAGAGAGGGAAACAGGGCCTGTCCGCCGCCGTGGAAGTAGAGAGAAGGACACAGACGAGACACCGGTCAATGCCAGTCTCCAGACAGGCGGCGGGACGGACTTCAGCGGCGGGTTACGCAGAGAAGGACGAGACCGATGACAAGCCGGGTACGACGGTGCTCCGACGACTGACAGACGTCGGACTTTAGGTCTCTGTGCGCTTGTCCTTCCGGGGTTAAGAATAGGCGGTCGAACAGAACAGACTCAAGCTGCGGCCCGTGGAAGTGCAAAAACCCAAAGACGAGACGATGTCTGAGGTTCAACAACGACAAGTGCGGCACGGAGTGAGTACCGGAGACAGAGTGGTGGCACCGATGGACGAGCAAGCAATAAAGTCACCGTGGTCATCCATCCACAACAAGCCTTACCCGCTGGGCACGCCGCACATCACACCCACTCCAGCCCCTCCTCTCCTGGGGGGGAGAATAAGACGTGGGATCCCTTTCCAGTCAGGGACAGCATCATCAGCCAAGGCCAGAACCGTCTCACCTGGCTACAAGCCCCATCCGTTCACCCCCGTTTGTGCTGTACCACATGCGAGAAGCGTATCAGTTGCCGTCTTGTGTGCAATCGTAAATGCATCTGTTCATAGGCTACCGTCTGTGTGCAACAGCCCTGGCAGTCTGGTCATGACTGGTTAACCACACCTCTTGAAGGGGAAAGACTGGCTGGATGATAGCCTTAATACAGTCAACCATCCATCTGACTGGAGGTGAGTGGTCCAATCGAATGGTGACCGCAGAGCCAGAAGTCGAATTTGGGTGAGGCATGTACCCTCGGTTCAGATTCTCACGCTGCATCTGAACAGCAGAAAAAAAAAAAGACAGAATGACAGAGGGAGGTCCCCTGGGGCTCCGTTTCGTTGGATTGAAACGGAGAGTCGCAAAACTGAGGCTGATCCACACCTCGGATTGCGCTAGTGGCTGTCAGCCGTTTTTGACTGGTGGACGCTCCGCTACAGATGCTGTCCTTTTTCGTCCAACCAGCAATGACCCAGACCCAGCCATCGACCACCGTCTCGTCCAGTCATAGTCACCTCTCCCCCTCCTTTTCGCCCAAAAGCCCGTGACCTCATCGTCGGTCAAGAGCACCTGCGAATACACCGTCTCCAATACTTGGTCAGCCCCCGTGCTGTCAAGTCACGTCCTCAGTCCACCATCCTCGTTTCTTGAACAGTACGAATACGTACCATGGGATGGCCTTTCCCAAGTCCCGACTCGCCGAAGATACCGCAGTCAAGGTACACGAGCCAGACGGGAAACACAGGGCACACCAGACTCCATCTTCGCAGCTCTGGCCCGGTCTGGCCACCTCAAGATCAAAACCAAAAAATGACAAGTAATGGGGCATTTGTCTTGGGTGCTGGACCCTTTGGGCACCCGATTTCGTCACAGACTCACTCAGAGTATGTGAGTACCTAGGTCCCTATCCTCTTCCTGGCCAAGCTGCCCATACGGATTTCTGTAAGGTGAGGTAAGGCACTTTAACCTGTACTTACGTATCGTCTACGTAAGGTAAGGTACAGTCCGTATCTATCAGCGAGAATAACGTGAGGAAGGTACATGCATCTTGCGCTGAGATACGTACCCTCGACCCCAGGCTCTGTGACCCACCGTCCACGGACCCGTGCCCACTTTAACCCACCGCGCCTTCCACGTCCCACGCTTGCACCGGCTCGCTCTCGACTGACAGGACGGAAACGCCCTGATGTACGTATGTACCTATGTACCTGATGGAGGCAGGTACCTTTCTCCGTATCTTTTGTATGGGCCATCGGCTGTCCATTCATCAATCGTCCACCCGCGTCAATCCACAACCCACAATCCAACCATCCATCTGCCATCCATCATCCATCGTTGCCATCCGCCCGCGCATCTGGGGACCCTCTCTTCGCAAAGTCGCATGGTGCGCCCAAAGTCACTTTTTTCCCTCTTTGCCTTTCTAATCCTCAGTTATTCAGCGTCCAAAAGTCTCTCCGCTCTTCCAGTCATCGCTCGTCTCGGCTCCTAGCAAGCATCCCAGTGCCCGGGAACTCCACCGCTGTCAGAAGTCACTCCAGTTCTCCCATATCCGCCTCCGTTTCCTCCTGGGCCTCTGGAGATCCTCCCGTTACCTATTTGGCACGCCTTCCCCCCCTTCTCCATCTCGTCTTTCGCTTGAGCTGCCCGTCCAACGCAACTTGCGAACATCAACCCACGAAAACAACTCCACCTGCGTACTGGACACTGGTTGCGCTGCTGCACCTCGAGGGGAAAGCCCAGAGATAGGAGCCACGACCCACGATCGACCACCCGTCCGACTCTGGCCCTCGCCCTCGCCCTACGTATCCGGCTGCTTCTCCCGCCCTCTTTTGCCATCCATATCCGCATCTGCATCTCTTGCCTCTGCTCTCCTCTATTTGCCTCTCCCTCACACTCTCTCTCTCACTCGATTCACAACTCTGAACCATAACATCATCACCTCACCTTAACGATACCCAATATTCCGTTCCGCCTTATCTGATCCTCCTTTTTGCCTCTTCCCTCACAGTACATCACTTGTCGCGACTTCACTTCAGCCTACATACTACCTTACTACTACTACTTCTACTTACTACCGTACTACCTTCACCTTTCTGCTCCCTCAACATTCCATTCAAGGAATCCCTTCCGCTCTGGATTGAGAGCTTCGCGCCGGGTACCGCGGTCCCGAAAACTTGACAACAACTCCCAACAGCCTGCTGCAATTGCAAAGGGTAACTCACACAGCCTCGAGTACATAATCATCACCGCCTCAATGCAACAATAGCCTCGTCGTCCGCACAGAGACCGACACGAACCGGACCGCAAGCAACGCCTTGCAGTCTTTCGACCACTACCACAGCCTTGATTTGATCAGTCGCTCTCTGGCCGCCGTCGAACTGGATTCACGAGCCCCCATACCAACATCATACCTCCATCAGACATCTTCATCATGTCCGCTTTGCCACCCGACCCGTACAAAATTTTAGGCGTTTCCAAAGATGCACAACTCGCAGAAATCCGAAGTGCTCACCGAAAGCTCGTCCTCAAATGCCACCCTGACAAGGTGCAGGACCCGACGCTCAAGGCCCAAAAGCAAGATGAGTTTCAAAAGGTTCAGCAGGCCTACGAGATTCTGAGCGACGAAAACGAGCGAGGCAAGTACGATGACAATGTCAAATTAGCTGAGCTCCGCAAGGAGATGGCCAAGGGCATGTCCGCCAACACCTCGGCTCCCAGAGCGCCCGCCGCCAGATCCTACGAGGTCCGCACCGCCGAGCCCCGACCGGATACCTACAAGACGACGTACCGTGCCTCCCCCGGCGGCAAGCCCATGTACTCTACCGGATACAATTCTCGATCTTGGGACGAAGAAATTCACAGCAGATCAAATTCCATCTTCGAAGAGCCTAGGGCTCGCCGGGCCGCAAGTTACGAGAAAAGCTACGAGAAGCCGTCCCGCCAAGACGAAGAAAGAGATCGAGAGCGGGAACGGGAACGGAGACGTAAGGAAGACAGGGACAGAGAACGCGAGGAGCTCGCCCGTGCCGCAGACCGCAAAGAAAGGGAACGCGAGAGGGAACGTGAAAGAGAACGCGACAAAGAGCGAGAACGCCAAGAACGCAAGGCGTACGAAAAGCAGCTCAAGAGGGCCGCCGAAAAGGCCGCGGCCGACAAGGAAGAGCGTCGTCAAGAACGTAAGCGTCAAGAGAAGGCCGAGAAGGAGAGAGAAAAGGACCGTAAACGCGAGGCCGAAGAGAAATCGCGTAGACACAAGCCTGCCTACATCGAAGACGATGAGTCCAACTATTTCGCCAAGTCTGACAAGAAGAAGTCAAGTAGCACCAAGGAGAAGGAGAAGGACAAGCGATCTCGCTCGATCCCGCCTGGAGGCGCCCCTCTCCGTGAAGAGCCGCCTGTGCCTCCGGTGCCTACTATCCAGGCCGATGCCAAAGTTTCCAAATATGCCGACACCATGCTGTACGCAGCGTCATACATGGATCAGTCACGTAAGGCAGTTCACCCGGGTCTGAGCCGTGCCCAGACTTCGTACGAGCCTCGACATGTGCCTGCCGCGGTTCCGACGCCGCCCGCTGCGATTCCTTTCGCTCCTCCTCCCATCCCTACTGTCGAGGAGGACACCAGTCGCAGATCAAAGTCGAGACGCTCCTCTGAGACCAAGACACGGGACAAGTCAAGTCATAAGAAATCATCTCCCACAAAGGAGGCACCCGTTCCGCCATCGCCCAACGTTGTCGATGCCTCTCCTAGCACTCGCCACATGGCTCAGTTCGCTTCCGCGACATCTTCGCCTGCGTCTACCTCACCGCCTAAGCACTTAGGTAGAGCGGCCACCTTCAACGATGGGTACAACCGTCCTCCTCCTGGTCCTGTTAGGGCTCAAACATTTTCTCATGTGCCTGCTGAGTCTGCCGACGTCCGAGGCCGTGGTCGCTCAAGGCTGCAGCCGCAGCAGATTTTGAGCGAGGACTCTGATGATTCGGAGGAAGACCAACGTCATCAACAAAGGAGTCATCGACACAGAACGCACTCTCCCGAGGCGATACCGTATGAGACTGGACAGCGCACTCGATACACCGTCAATGCTGGAAGAGCAGTCCCAGTCGCTGCTGAGGCTGCATATGCTTCAGCCTATCGCGACGACTCTCCTCCGAGGAAGGTAAAGCATGACTACTACAGTGTCCGCCCTTCCATGCCGTCTCGCGAGGCAAGCTACCAGAGCTCCAACCCGTATTTTTCCAAGGTGAAGACGGCGAGATATGATGACGTTCAGTACAGCAACATTCCGCATCGTTACCGCCACGATGAGTATGCAGGCTACGCTTAGTATCAAACGAATGGCGCAGCTCATTAACGTCTCGATCTCACAATGGTCATCCCGCCGTCTTCGCAATGAGAGATACTTCGCTCTGCTGGAACGCGTCGATGTTAATCCTCCTTACGTCCTGATTCGCGCGGCTGATTTTCATTTTCTATATTTTTTGTTAGCTTTCATGTTTTCATTTCCAGTTCTTTTTCTTTGGTTCGTGCTGGTATGAAGGGGACGATATGAAAGAAAACCATACAGTAACGAGTACCGATCTGTCTTATTGATATCAATCTGGGAGGGCTGCGATTGACGAGCCCGAAATGGCGCTGAGGGCATTTGAGGGACTGAGGCCGCTTGAGACGGCTATTGATTGGCATTTATGGAGCGAGACGTGCTGGGCAGTGGTGGTTGCCTCGGATGACGGGGTCTGGTCAAAGTGGCGATCAGGTGGGGATAAAGGAAGCTTCTCGAGTTTGGTCAGGTGCCTTGTGATGAGGCGGCCACGAATAACGAAGCCTTGCCATCTCCGACCTTCCACATGACCAGGCTGAGCCCCGTTTCAGCTCCAGGCAGCCGGCCCCGTCCATGCAACGGGGACATTTGGAACGTCCTGGGTTTCTCACAGAAGTTGTTGTACGCTGGAGTCTGACGATACACACATACATGCATTGGGATGGCGACATATATTTTACACATTTACTGGCTATTTTTCCAGATCTCTAACGAACTCAAGACATATTTTCTCATCCTTGTCAAATCGCTGTTTTCTGGTCATTCGCTACAAGGAGTTTGAAAGCGGAGGGGATATACCACACTCATTTTGTGCACGAGTCGAGGGAGGAGAGACACAATGGAAAGAGGAAGAACATATGAAAGAGGAGGAGTTATTATACCATCATGGTAGGCGTGTGCCTGTTGAGGCAAGGATGATCATCATGAAGGGAATGTCCTGGGATCAAGGGGGGGCGGCTATAGTTAGATTCTCTGTCGAATGGATATGCATTCTTGACACGTCTATCTGCCTGACTCTCGATTCGGTGATGTTCTTTGACGAGATCGAATGATGTTTAAGAGAAAATGCAAGTGCAATAGTACGAGGCTGGATCACGGTGGCCTGGACTTGGGTGTTCTAGACCTAGATGACGCGCGCAGTCGAGTGATTACGACTTTCGTTGGTGGGTGTTCTTGGGAGAGATTATGGAACGAGAATAAGAAGTGTGGGGATGTGTTTTTCCATTTGTTATATTGCGGCTGAGATTACTTCTTGGCCTTGGAGATTTCGGTGAGTGCAAGGTGTTACGCAGATATTGATTGATCAGACTGTCCACGGGGCCTAAGGTGGCTTGGTTGGGAGGTTGAAACGTTGTAAGTGGACCACTGTTGCTTGAAGCTTGGCTGGCCCTTAGTAATACGGGTATAGAAGGAGGTGATGGGGCTTCATGTTTGAAGTTTTACGATAGAGACAGCCCCGTGGGAAAAGGAGGTTGGACAGATTCAATGGCCTTGGAGCTCGGTTGGAAGAAGAGCTCCTCTTTGTCGAGGCCCAGGAGATTCCCGTGGAACGCTCTGCAGTCGCAAGATACATGCGGTCATTGGAACTCGTCGGCCGCCTGTTTCTGAGGAGTATTTTGCAACGTTTATACAGCTAAGGCAGAGGAGATTAGGTATGGCTGGTTAGTGGTGGAATGTTGTCTCTCTGATATAAAGTAAATCGAGTCCACAGGAACTGGATTTCCATCGGTCTCTCGTACAGCAGCCTACGATTTCCTCACAACGGGCCCTACTTCGCAGACCACCGAGCTCTATCAGCGATGATTAAGGAACATCAGTGATAGAGACTTGGGAGATAATAGTCCTATTTAATATCCTTACAAAAGACGACGAAGCGATACGTAGAGAGTCTACTCCCGGCTTCCTAACGTGGAAGCTGTCCTAGCGCCAGTAAGAACCTACCTTAGTTGCGACACTGTCTCTAAAGACGATGAGTCTCCCATGGTTGACAATATGAAAACGTGGCATGTTGGCCAATGAAAGTCATGAACACCGGACACGGCGGGCATGAAGTAATCTAGGACTCGCGCTGCGACTAGGAGTTTAGCGTCTGGTGCCAGTTCTGGTACGTATTGCCTAGGTTGAGAGGTGGCAACGCTGTGGCAGTCAACTAGTTCCATTCTTCAATAGTTCAGAAGCGTTCGTGGTCCATTGAATGGTGTATATGTCGATCCATGGCCTCGTTATATTGCTGGCAGTCTTGAGACTATCCATTTAGACTAGCAGAGCTTGAAACTTAAGGAGTGTATAATAAGTGACCTTGGAGATTAACTGTCGTGAGCGGACAGTCACAGAGTTATGGAATGCCAAGTTGTCAACTTAAGATCAAGAGAGCGCCAAGTGAGAGGAGACACCTTCTTTGTCAACAATCGCATGACTTGACAACTCATGAGATTTGGAACTATGCCAACACATCATATATAAAGACGCGTTCTCTGAACTATTGGAGAAGACGGGCCAACAGTCATCGGCCGCCCTCGTGGTTCTATGCTGCGTTAATATCGTGGGCGAAATACCACGGGCATCATGCCAAGTTAGGAAAGGCAAGTTACATATTTCTTATACGCCGTCTGCATAGTGTCCCAATAC